CCCATTATTTACGACATGCCCATATTACGATGACTTATTTCCGAAACCTTTGGTTCCTCCACAGCAACCCGGCTTTTGTGGGCTTTTGAGACCCGAGATGTACGACTCTACAGGGATGCCGTCGAATGTTAGTTGGTTTCGCAAGGATTACAGCGACGTCCACTGGTAAGCATCCTAAAGTTAAGGTGCTGCAAAAGACTGTTCATTGCCTGAGTCGACGAAGATTTAGGAGGTGTTTGTAGGTTTAGAGACCCTGGCAAGAGGGGATTTGTGAGTCCTTTTTCCAACAAAATGTCAAACGTGCACGGCGCCTGTCCTTGAGGTGAGCACCCGAACTTGTTATGTTTTCGGTCTTATGATTGTACCGTACCACATGCATGATGGTGGGCGCTTTTCAGACTAGCCCTCATTAGGCTGTGACTGGTGCTTCGCTTCGCTCCACAGATTTTGGTCNNCCCCCCCCCCCCCCCCCCCGCACAGACACGCTCAGGCAGTGCAATTGGATTTCTTGCCTCCAGGGGCACGGACCATTGTCATCCCAGCGATTCTCACATGCATCGCGGTGTGCCTCGCGGCAGGCGTCGGGAGCTGGACATATGCAGTTCTTTGTCTGAAGAAATCAACACAATCCCACTTGAGGAGCAGATACTGCACACTCTTGTCAGCACGCATCTGTGCTTCAAAAGATGTTGCGAATGGCATCCCTACATAGTCTGCTGGGGTGATACATGTTTTAAGGTTGGAAGTATGGGCCCTGATATTGATATGAGCCCATATGCTTTCCATTGGGATCCTAACCCTAGAGTGCGTACTATAATAAATTGGATGTATAGGGTATGCATTAGGTGTATCCCAGGATATGTACGCCTGCCATGGCCCTTTTTTGTCAACTTAAGCTCCACCATGTATGGCTTTCTGATGCTCAAGCACAAGGAGTGGCTGCATGATGAACTCTCAAGCCATTCTGAAGCACAACTCAACATTCCAAAGCGCAGCCTCTCACGCAGTCCACACAAGCTGTAGACCCTGAACACCGAGTATCTCTCCTGAGTCCCGCGTGGTCAACCTCTTTAGGTTTAAAGCCGCATGGCCATCTGCCCGTAAAAACCACAAATCCTCACCTTCCAATCCCCTTCACCGCTTCGGAACCCCAAGCCTCCCAGGTCCAGACTCGCAAAGAGCCCCTACCTGCGCACGTCCTGTACTTGACCGCGGCCTATCAACCCAGCTGTGCGGCTTGGGAGGCTGGTTTGGGGTGTGGGTTCGGGGTTTAGGGTTTGGGGTTTCTGGTTTAGGGTTTGGGGTTTAGGGCTACTCCCCTGTTCCTGTATTGTATTACGATAGGAGTCTGGGAGATACATTATATATATATATGTATGCATTAGGGTGAGGGGGTGCGCCCAAATGGTGTGAAGTTATAGGGATATTGTCACCTATAACGGAGAATGAAATGGAGAAGAAAACGGAAAACGACACGGAAACTGGGATGATATGGTGGTTTCTCATTAGGTATATATGTATGGGGAGTATAAAGGCATAGGGCTAAGGTGTGGCGGGGAGCATGAATACTGCGCAAGCCCTATGGGAGGGAGTGCGCTTCTTTGCTAATTATGATGTTTGTACCAAGTCTCCTAGACCCCCTAAACCCTGTACCACGCTCCTAGACCCTTAGTCTGGGCCTCCTTAACTAATGAGAGTATTTTGGTATCCCGACCGCTCTAATTCCGATCCTATATGAGTCATATGATCGCGATTGGGTCGCCATTTTGGAAGTGCGCTTCCCAATATCCTGTTGCTATAAACCCTATATCTGCAAAACTGCTCGAGGTCGAGCGCCTGATCCGCAAAATGCTTCTCTCCTTGCTCACGGCCATGGTTCCAGTCTCCCTGTCGCCAGCTGCTTTGCAGCAAGGTGCTTCGTAGCAGGAACAGCGGCACTGACACCACAACTGCAACGAGAGTAGCAGCTATAAAGCAATAGGTGCAGCATTATAAAGCTGAATAGCTTTTTCACCGGCTATTTGAAAATAGGCTCTTGTACAGATCGCAGGCCGCAGCAAGTCCTGCCCAAACCCTAGCTGCAATACGACAGTACAGTTCTTCGTTGCCCACGAAGGTTTGGCAGATTCCGATGCTTCCCACCGTGAAACAGCAAGGGACTAATAAATAGGTTGCGGGGGGCCTTGAGAAGGACAGCTTCCAAAGGAACTTGTGTTGAATCCGTGGCGAGAATGCAATATCACCCTGAGCTACCCTGAACCATAAACCTTAACGCACCCACTCTAATCCAAAGAGTCTCCGTCTCCTCATGAACTCCCAAGGCTCTGCAGATGGGCGGAGTTGGCATGATCCTCCTGGTGTCCCTGACGCTTTGATGCAGTTTGGGATTTAGGGGCCGGTAAAATATCAGAGAAAGTCATACAACGGGCATGTGCACCCGATGAAGATGCGTCACGCTTGGCTGAGGACTCTCTACATGCGCTACAAGCCCTACAAGGCTAATGTAGACCCCTGATTAATAAACCCCCTCCTTTGAAGGGCCTTTAATATTAGGATCCCCATTATAATCCCTGTTAAGGGGAGGGGGTTCATTAATCACGGGGGTTGAGGATTAGGTTGCAGGGTTGAAGTTGCTCCGTAAGGAAGTAGGTAGACGGCATGCACGTTGGTAGCAGCCTGGTACAAGATGTATGGATACGCTAGTCATGTGTGTTCTACTTGCGCACGTCAGATTGCCTGCGAAGAGAGAATGGATCCCAAACACTGATCCGTGTGCTGGATTCCGCACTAGAAGTTCGTAGGAGTTAGAAGTTGCCTCATCGCTGCGAGTATAAACTACAGGGACATCATGGTTTCGCCAGCAGCTAGCAGTGCTTCGGGGGTTTGCAGCTGTCACACATAGTGTTACTGTGTACAAAAGGCTGGCCCCGAACCTCCCCGCAACCACGGCAAGTCATTGCAGAGAAGCACGAGCAGTTGGCAAGAAGTACTCTAGGGATCCAAGTATACAAATATGACTTCCATTGGGCTCAGAAGACTGTAAATCTTACCTACATTGGGCTATTTGGATCCCTAGGGGTAGGCATGGGGTTGTAGGACCTGCAAACGCAGCAACTTGCACCCTTCGCTACATTTTTGTTGCACGCATCTTTGGCACGTGGGAGTTTCCAAAAATCCGGGGCCTTTGAAAGGCGCCCCGGAAGCCCCCAAGTAGCGATAAGCTCCTGTGCATGGAGGGAACTGCTAGGAGGCCTATCTTTTAGGAGGACCCCCCACCCTGTAGCAGTGGTATACTAGGAATACATGAGGACCCTAATATTCTTACCACTATTCCCTGTAGTCACCATTACTGGGTGGGAGGTCCACCTAAGTAATCTATCTTGTCGCTTAGGGTTTCTGCGCTGTATCATCCCTAAGAACCATCTCACTTGTAGGGGTAGCGTCCTTTTCACTGTTTTATTACGGGTGCTTTACCTTACCTGCCAAAAGCACACAGGAATAGGAAACCCCAAGCCCTCAATCCTCAACACTACAGTAACTCCTAAACCCCAAACCCTCAACCGGACACACACACACACACAAAAAAAAAAAAAAAAAAAAATCAGTCTGAGGACAAAGTATTGCTGAGTTCTGGTCGCCGACAAAGCTCTTGTTCCAGACCCCGCACGAACCTTGCGCCACTGATGGCAAACCTTCAATGCTAAACTCCAATCCCCAAATCCTAAGTCCCCAACCCCCTTAACACTAAACCCTCAATCCTAGACTCCAACCCCTGAAGCTTAAACTCTTTACCCTGAAGCCTAAATCACGCTAAACACTTAGTCCTATACGCTAGATCCTTAACACGAGGTGGACAGGTGGAACAAGTCGGAGGAGGCTTTGCTCGTTGCTGCCTTGGCTATGACCATCATGACCACCTGCCCAGGGCTTAGCCTGTGGGGGTTTTGGGCTCAGTCATCCTCAGCCCTCTAGTCACACTCAAGTAGATAGACTATAGAATTCCGTAGAACCAGAATAAGATCCCCAAATACCCCGTATTCTATCTAGTTTAGGGGACTGCAAACCCTAAACCCTAACTTCCCCGGCCCTACCACCCTGCCACACCACCCCCGCAAAATTCCCCAATTATTAGCCTTGGACTGCATGATACGCGGTTTAGAGTTGTTGGTATTGGGGGTTAGGGTGTAGTGTGGCTGTTGTGGAGCGGTCCGGTTGAGGGTTGGTGGTTACGACCAAGGCATAGGGTCTAAAAGCTTGGGTGCCGGGTTTAGGGCTTAGATCGTGAAGGTGTTGAGGCTTGGGATCCAAGGCTTGCAGTGTAAAAATCCCAGGGTTTAAGGGTTAAGGTAATAGTCTTCGGATATAGGATTTAGGATTTAGGGTTTTGGGGAGTGAACGACGAGATGCAGCGATAAGGGGAGCAGGCTCATGCCCTCCCATTGTTGCGTTGCAATCGTTGCCTGCGATTTGCTCCCTCCAAACTAGGGTTTGTTTAAGAGTGCAGGACTAGTAAGTCCCGGGCGTACTCAGGTTTGTTGATCCACGGTTTCGTGAGATAGTTTCGAGGGCCCAGGGTGGGAGGCATGGAAGACACGCATGTGAGGCACCCCTTTTCGCAGGCGGCCTGACTTGCGGGCGCTTAAAGCACGCCACTTCCTTACTGGGGATTTGTAGGGAATATTATGTAGGGATTATACTCACTTTTTCCCTACTCACCACCAGTAAGTTACCGAGAGGCAATCAACCACACAGGTAGGTTGAGGCTGTTATGATTTTCTTGTTGCAGTTGTTCTTGTTGCTGCCTGCTATCATCACCCGTGTCATTAGGAAGCCACCTGCCACGACCACTGTGGGTAGTAAAGTCCTGCGGCCTGTTGTAGGTCTGACACGGCTTCTGCTGCAGGCAGATGAAGGGGAGACTGAACCATGATGATCAACATAAGCATGCAAGCCGTTTTCGCAGGGAGGGACAGCCATAGAACCGGCCCTGAACCCTAAACCCTGTACCCCAAACCAACCCCAACCATGCCTCAACCTCTACCTTGCGTGCCTATGCTCAAGGAACCCTTCATAGCTCAGGTGGCAGCACACTCTGAACCTGCGAAAAAGCTACAAATCGAAGCTCAAAATCTGAACCCAAAGCTCTAGCCCGAAAGCTCAAGCTTAAGATGCTCAAACGGAAGTCCCAACCCGCAAGTTTACTTACTCGGGGTTAATAGGGAGTACGGGAATGTAGTATATAAGGATTATATAGTAAATAGGGACTACGTATATTCACTTATTCCCTATTGAGAACCAATAAGTTTAGAGCCTAAACTCCAGACTTGAACACCCAACTCTCACACTCTAAACACTGAAATTTGTCTTGTTTTTTGCCAGTTTCTGTTTCCTACCAATACCAGAAGGCAATCTTGAAAAACCTCAGCGCATTACATCTCCCCATATATGTATCCCTTATAAGTGCCTTGAAATACCTAGCTTCCATCTGATTATGCGTTTGATTGGTTTAGGTTTCTAACAGGTCTTCTTGCCAATGATCTTCACTGGGCCCGCTCAACTGGCACGCAGGACTGAGGTTTGCACGGCTCATGGGTAAAAGGTTTTCGGGGGTAGCGGCTTGGTGTTTATAAAGGTTTCAGGGTCCAAGGGCCAAAGAAGCTGTGCCAATCATACTCGTAGGAGCTACATGATTTACTATGAGGTAGCACCAGAAAACATTCTTGCCCAACTGCGCGCTTAAGCTTCGCGGTGTTTTGGGGGCCCATAAGAGCCACCAGAGGTAGCCCATAAATCCTAGACCCTAAAGCTTAAACCTCTCATACCCAAATCCCTAAACGCTCCGGCCCCGACCGCTGAACCTTCCTGCGCTAAACCCCCAGCGGATGTCTTCCTCACCCTAAACCTTAAACCCTATTTTTCCTGGGCTGGGATTTGCATGTCCAACTAAGCTGCACGCCCATACCTGAGTAGTTTTCTAGCCAGGTTTTAGCCTCCCAAAAATCAACTCTATACCCACAAAACCCTAAACTGGGTTGCTGTTCAGGAACTTAAATTCAGTTGCCATAATACGTGTATGTAGTAAATAATGGGCCATGGTTCCACTCGGTTCAGTTGTCAGGAACCTAACCCCGTACAAACCTTTGACCGGTTCGAGACGGTTCGATTCCTGCGGTTTGGTCCCACGGTTCCTCCGGCTCCTATATTGTACAAGAAAATTCAGAATCAATGATTTGGATCTCTATACACCCTAAAGCCTATACACTCTAAACCCGAACTTTGTACACCTCTGGGCCCGCAACCTTCGGGATCCTTTGGAGGACAGCACGTAAAACCAGTACATTTATGAACATAAAGGGTTCTAGATGTTAATGAATTAGCCCAATACTATACGGGTAAGCAAGAAGCCTTTAATCTATACAGGGTGGGCTTTCATGCCTTGCCTGGCGCAAGCTGGGGTTGGCCTCTAACCTATACCCCAACACCAGCAAAAGTCCGGTCCTGTCCCTCAAAACCCAATCACGACATGCAAAAGCGAAAAGACTCCTCCACTTCAGGGAGCGCACTGTGACGCCCAAAACTCCTTCCAGAATCTTCAGGGAGCGCAACGTGACACCCAAAACTCCTCCAGGATCTTCAGGGAGCGCACCGTGACGCCCAAAACTCCTGCAAGATCTTCAGGAAGCACACCGTGATGTCCAAAACTCCTCCAAGATCTTCACAGGAAGCGCGCCGTGTCGTCCAAAATTCCTCCAGGATCTTCAGGGTTTCATCAGGCAGCGCGCCGTGACGCCCAAAATTCTTCTAGGATCTTGAAGGGATGGCGCTGTGACGTCCAAAGCTCTCCAGGATCTTCAAGGAACGCACCGTGACGCCCAAAACTTCTCCAGGATCTTTATGGAGCGCACCGTGACGCCGGAAAAACTCCTCCAGGATCTTGAGAGAGCACACCGTCACGCTCGAAAATCCTGCAGGATCTTCAGGGAGTGCACACAACGCCGAAAGTCCTGCATAATCTTCAGGGGGCGCGACGTGTCGCCCAAACTCTTCCAGCGCACCGCAACACCCAAAACTCCTCCAGCATCTTCAGGGAGCGCACCGTGACGCCCAAAACTTCTGCGCAGGATCTTCAGGGAGCGCACCGTGACACCCAACTCGTCCAGATCTTCAGGGCGCACCGCGACGCCCAAAACTCCTCCAGGATCTTCTGGGGGTGCACCGTGACGCCCAAAAACTCCTGCAGGATCTTGAGAGCGCACCGTAGCGCTCAAAACTTCTGCAGGATCTTGAGAGCGCACCGTAACGCTCAAAACTTCTGTGGGGATCCTGGAATTTTGGACGTCACGGTGCGCTCGCTGAAGATCCTGGAGGAGTTTTTGGCTTCACGATGCGCTCCCCGAAGATCCTCGAGACGTTTTGGGCGTCACGTTGCACTCGTCGAGGAGTTTGTGTTTCGCGGTGCGCTCCCTGAAGATTCTCACGCAGTTTTGGGCGTCACCGCGCGCTCCCTGAAGTTGCTGGAAGAGTTTTGGGCGTGACCGGAGCGCGCCCTGATGATCATGGAGGAGTTTTGCGCGTCACCGTCGTTACCTTAAGATCTTGGAGGAATTTCGGGGGTGTATTGAACCCGTTGCCTGAAGATCTGGGAGGAGTTTTGGGCATCATGGTGCACTCCCTAAATATGTTGGAAGAGTTTTAGGCGTTTCGGCGCACTCCCAAGAACCTGGGAGGAGTTAGGGCGTTACGGAGCGCTGCCTGAGAAGTTTAGGGCGTCACGGTGCGCTCCCTGTGAAGATTTGGTAGGAGTTTTGGGTATCACGGCGCGCTCCAAGAAAGATCCTGCAGGAGTTTTGCTGTCGTCACTGTGCACTCCCTGCAGATCCTGCAGCATTTTTGGGCGTCACGGTGCGCTCCCTGAAGATTCTCGGGAGGTTTTGGGCGTCACAAGGGCCCTCAGTTTTGGGCGTCTCGGTGCGCTCCCTGAAGATCCTGGAGGAGTTTGGGCGTCACAGCGCCGTCCCTTCAAGATCCTGGAGGAGATTCGGGCGTCACGATGTCGTCCCTTGAAGATCCTAGGGAAATTTTGAGCGTCACTGTGCACGCCTTCAAGATCCAGGAAGAGCTTGGGCGTCACAATGCGCTCCCTGCTGCATATCCTGCAGGAGTGTTGGGCGTCACGTTGGGCTCCCAAAAGATGGAGTCTTAGGCATCGCGGTGCGCTCCATGAAGATCCTGCAGGAATTTTGGGCGTCACGGTGCGCTCCCCGAAGATTGTGAAGGAGTTTTGGGCGTCACCGTGCGATCCCTGAAGATCCTGAAGAAGTTTTGGGCGCGCCGTGCGCTCACTCCAGATTTGGAGGAGCTTTGGGCGTGACAGTGCGCTCCCTGAAGATCCTACGGGAATTTTGGGGGTTTCGGTGCGCTCCCTGAAGATCCTGTGAGGGAGCGCGCCGTGAGGACCAAATCTCCTGCAGAATCTTCAGGGAGGGCACCATGAAGGCCTTGACGCCCAAAACTGCTCTAGGACACTAGGATCTTCACACAGAGCGCAGTGTGACGCCCAAAACTCTTCCAGCATCTGCAATGCACCGCGACGCCCAAAACTCCTTTTCAGGGGGTCGCGCCGAGACGCCCAGGACCCCCTCCTTCGCAGAATCTTCACACGGAGCGCGCCGCGACGCCCAAGCTCCTGCAGCATCTTCAGGGAGCGCACCGTCACACCCAAAACTAAACTCCACCAGGATCTTCAGGGAGCGCACCGAGACGCCCAAAGCTCCTGCAGGATCTTCAGGGGGCGGGCCGTGACGCCCAGAACTGCTGCAGGAACTTCAGGGATCGCACCGCGACGCCCAATTTGCAGGATCTTCAGGGAGCACACCGTGACGCCCAAAACTCCTCCAATATCTTGAGGGAGCGCACCGTCACACCCAATACTAAACTCCACCAGCATCTTCAGGGAGCGCACCGTGACGCCCAAAGCTCCTGCAGGATCTTCAGGGGGCTCTCGGTGACGCCCAAATTTTTCCACGATCTTCAAGGGGCGCACCGTGACGCCCAACACAACACTCGGCCAGGATCGTCAAGGAGCGCAACGTGACGCCCGGACCACATCGCCCAAAACTCCTCCAGTCATCATCAAGGAGCGTGCCGTGACGCCCAAAATTGCAGGATCTTCAAGCAGCGCACCGTGAAGCAGAAATTCCTCCAGGAGCTTACCGCATAGCCCAGCAATCCTCCAGCATTCCCAGGGAGCGCACGGTGATGCCCAAAACTACTGCAGGATCTTCAGGGAGCGCGCCGTGACGCCCAAAACTGCTGCAGGGTCTTCAAGGAGCGCGCCGTGACGACCAAAACTCGTCCAGGATGTTCAGGGAGCACGCTGGCGCCCAAAACTTTTCCGGAATCTTCATGGCTGCAGGTTCTTGAGGGACAGCGCTGTGACGCCCAAAACTTTTCCAGGATCTTCCGGGATCACGCTGGTGCCCAGAACTTCTACAAGATCTTCAGGGAGCGCACCGTGACGTCCAAAACTCTTAATGGATCTTCGAGGAGGGCACCGTGACGCCAACGCCTCCAGGATCTTCAAGTATAGCCGTATAGCCCACCGTGTCGCCCAAAACTCCTCCAGGATCTTCAAGGAGCGCATCGTGACGCCCAAAACTCCTCCACGGTCTTCAGGAAGCGCACCGTGACGCCCAAACCTCCTCCCATATCTTCAGGGGGGACCTTCAGGGAGCGCACTATGACGCCAAACTTCCTTGAGGATCTTCACGGAGCGCACTGTGACGCCCAAAACTGCTCCACGATCTTCAGTGACGACGAAATCTCCTCCAGGATCTTCACGGAGCGCGCCGCGACGCCCAAAACTCTTCCAGGATCTGCAGCGCACCGTGATGCCCAAAACTCCTCCCAAAACTTCGGGAGCGCACCGTGACGCCCAAAACTTCTCCAGGATCTTCATGGAGCGCACCGTGACGCCCAAAGCTCTTTCAGCATCTTCAGGGAGCGTACCATGACGCCCAAAACCCCTCCAAGATCTTCAGGAAGCGCACCGTGACGCCCAAAACTGCTGCAAAACCTTCCGGCGGTGCGCCGCGTCGCCCAAAACTCCTCCAGGATCTTCATGGAATTCACCGGAACGCCCAAAACTGCATGGCAGAGCACCACAACGCCCAAAACTCCTTCAGGAGCGCACCGTGACGCCGAAACTCCTCTAGGCTCTTCAGGGCGCGCACTCTGACTCCGAAACCTACTCCAGGATCTTCAGGGAGCGCGCCACCATGATGCTCAAAAATTGTCCAGGATCTTCAGGCAACGCAGCGTGACGCCCAAAACTCCACGTGACGCCCAAAACTCCTGCAGGATACTCAGGGGAGTGCACCGTGACGCCCAAGCTCGTGCAGGATATTCAGGGAGCGCACGGTGACGAATAAAGCTCCCGCACCGTGACACTCAAAAGTAAATTCCACCAGGATCTTCAGGGAGCGCACCATGACGCCCGAATTTCTGCGGATCTTCAGGGAGCGCATCGTGACGCCCAAAAGCTTTCCGGGAGCTTCAGGGCGCGCACTGTGACGCCCAAAACTTCTCCAAGGTCTTCAGTGGAGCGCGCCGTGCCCAAGACTCTTGCAGCAAGAGGCAAAAAATCCTCTTCGAACCTGCAGGGTCTCTGAATGACACGGGGTCCCCCAGTTTGGGATGGTACAGCTTTTTTTTGCAATGTTGCGCTGTTCCTTCGTTGTTCATTGACCTTAGCAAAAACGCTGTACTATCCCAATCTTTGAGGCTTGAGGTCATTTGTTTTTTGGTGATTTCCTGGATTTCCAGCTTTCATGCTTGACTTTTCACGTTTTGGATAAAATGTTACTCTATATCATGAATTCCTGCTAACGTTTGATTAGAAGCCAGTGACCATGGATTCTTGGATTTCCAGTGTTGGATAAGAATGTCGGTTTGTAGGAGTTCCTGTTTGGAAGTCGATGAGAAATCATCCAGAAGCCATGGCTTCCTGGATGTAAACATTTGGACAAGTATTTGGTTTATGTGAATTGCTTTTACAGTGATGTGAGAACCTTGATTCCCTGGTTTGTGTTTCCATATAGGTCCGGTCCATGTGAAGACCTTTTAAAATCTGGGTAGAAACAATACCGAAAACCCTGGATTCTTGGATCTGCAGTTTTGGGTGGCAAGTTGGTCCATATGAATCCCTTTGGAAAGCAAAATAGAAACAATGCAGAAATCCTGGGTTCCTGGATCTCCAGTTTTGAATAGAGATTTGGTCTACATGATTTCAAGTTAAAATCTACTCCGAGACATGATATAGAAATCCGGGACTCCTGGATTCCCAAGTTTGGAGAGTATTATTTTCAAAAAAGAGAACAATACCGAAACCTTGGATTCCTCAGTGGATGGGATTTCATCTTATATGCATTCCTTTTAGAACTTGGTTAGCATCATGTCTACAATCCTTGGTTCTTGGATGTGGGTTTTCCATAGGATTCTCTTATTTTAAATCCTGTTTAGATTTAATCGGGTGCAGGAACGAAATCCTGAATTCCTGGATTTCCAAATTTGGATAAGAGCGTTGGTTTATAACCTAAGCCCTGAACCCGCAACCTTAAACCTGAAACCCTAAGCCCTAAGGAAATATGGGAGTTCCTTTTTGAAAGTCGATGAGAAATAAACCAGAAACCGGGCTTCCTGGATTTAAAAGTTTGGAAAAGAATTTGGTTTATCTGAATACTTTTGTATATCCAACTAGACATGGCGCAACAAGTTCTGGAAATTTGATTGGAAGCACGTCTAGAGCCCTTGGCTCTCGGATGTGGGTTTCCCGGAATTCCTGGATTTCCTGTTTTGGTTCGATTTCCTTGTAACTTCTGTATGGGGACAGTACAACCATCCTGGATTCCTGGATTTCCAGGTGTTCTTGATGAATTCCGTTTGTAATTCAATAAAAAATGACACGGCATGTCCACGTTTAGTCTATGTGCATGCCTTCTAAAGTTAGAAGAAAACAGAATCTTTGATTTTTGAATTTGTGCTTTTTATGGGATTCTGATCTATGTGATTCCTCATGGAATTGAAGATGAAGTCCTGGCTCCTGGATTTCCGATTTTCGAGCGAATTTTGATTTATATTTGCAAATGCATCAAGTAGCGGGAACATGCTCATATGAGGCTGGCAGTGCGCCTCGCTAATCTATCTGGACAACTTGTGTGCCAGGATTCTTGAGTGCAGGTCTAGCACATTGAGGGGTTTAAACCAGATGCGTAGCTAAACACTTTAAGCTACCGGGTTTTGAATAGGAACCTTCCCACAGTTCGGTTTCCTATGGTTCGCAGCTGCTCGGTTCTTTAACGAGGGTTTCCTTATTATAGTAACTTTAGTGAACTTCCTTAACAGCAACCCAGTAAACTCTCAAATCCGAAGGCCCAGAGGATGTTTCAACTGCCATGAACCTTCACAAACGTTAAGAACCGGGATTGGGGTTACTCGGTGGAAATACAGGGCCCCCCTACATAATCTACCCTTAAATCTGATAGTGGCAGCCTCCATTGACGTGCACCTATGCGAGTTCCTATGCATGACTGAAATCGATGCGAGCCCCTAGTGATTAATCGACCCCTTGTCAGAGTTTGAGTGAAGCCCATTGAGAGATGTGATACACATGTGTATTTCCACACACAGGGATCAACACCTTGTTTTGAACTGCGCTTGTGTCAAGAGACCGGGGCTACGCACTTTCTTTGCATCCAATCCGTGTTATTAGTAGGGGATATGGGAACATAATCCCTATGATCCCTAAATAATGTATTCCCTTATTCCTACTAGCCCCCAGCAAGTTGTCCCAGTCACGACTTTTCCCTTAGCCCGAAACCTGGCCAAGCGAAGTATCATGCTGACATTTGTCTTCCAGCGGTGTTACCCTAAACCTTAAACCCTGAGGAAGGCATTAGTTGCTGGAGGTGAGGCGATTGAACCCGTAGCCTCAAACTCCCTACACGTACAGGCACAAAAAACGAAATGTAGGTGTTCATTGAAATCGCGGGGGCCCCAATGTAGACCCCCAAAAATCAGCCCAACCCTCATCTCCAAACCCGGCGTCATGTAGGTGGCAACAGCATGCAAACCTAAACCCTAAACCTTTTTTGGCTTTTCTGAGTGGACAACTGGGATCGGGCCAGCCTCGGTGGGCGTTTCATGCTACGGGTTGAGATGAGGAGCAGTAAAAACACGAAAGACAATTTTAAACCTGAACCCTAAACTTTCCGAAGCCTTAGACCTACAAGCAAAAGGCCTAGGAGCCAAAAGTCCGTTGCCCTTTGACTTGGCCCGAATTCTCCAACTTCTCAATCCTAAGCCATAGACTGGGTTGCTGCTAGGGAAGTCAATTTCAAGAAACAAAACATGGGTATGTAGGGTTTAGGGTTTATGGCTTAAGGTGAGTAATGCGGGTACATATGGGTTTAGGGTTCAGGGCTCGAGTTACCGCAGCATTTGTACTCGGGTTCGATTATCATAGTAACTTAGCTTTAAGTTCTGTAGCAGCAACCCGGTAGAACAGGATGCCCTTATGTTCGCTATCGGTTTTCTGGCTGCCGTCTTCTGACTGACTTGATTGTGGAGTTTGCGGTTCAAGGGTTTGGGGGCCTTGAATCCAGGTGTACGCCTGTTCTAAGTTGAATTTGGAAGTTCGTGTGCGGTTAACTTAGCTGCAATTGCTACAAGTTCACCCGTTCTGATTGCTTCCAGTTCCTTCTTTCCTCGTCGTATCATAGCTATGCCAGCCAGTGTTTTAACTTGGCACGGTTACCATGTCTCTCGATCTCGAAATTTTTCAATATGGCTAGGCACTAAGAATGAAGTGGCTGAATGCAATGTGGCCACACCAGGATACCACTTTCCACAAAATCCTTGGCCATTGAAAGGTCCCAGGTCGTCCTTGCTAACTGTAAGGTTTTGTGGAATCAGCATCTCAATCTGAGCTTGAACGAAAGCCGCAGCTTCATGTGCCTTGGACCAAGAAGTCTACCCTAAAGTAAAAGCTCGAAGCCTCCTGAAGCCTAAGCGCGAAACCGTAAGCCCCTTAACCAAACCCAAAAACCCTGCACCCCCAAATCCACCCCAAAACCTACGCCTGGAACTTGGCTTAGAGCCCTCAGCTCATCCATGCCAAGTACTAGTAACAGTAATAGTAATAGTATTAGTATTCGTAATAGTACTAGTAATCGTAACAAAATGGTAATAGTAATGGTAATAAGCATCGTCTACTGAGCTCCTCCATGCCAAGGGAGTTACCCTCACCATGATGGTCCTCATCGCACGCGCTTTCTACCGTGAGCACTATGCGAAGTAACATTTTGGTAGCTTTGGACTCCTACCTGTCCTTGGAGGTTCAGGATAATTAGACTTCATGTACTTACAATCATAGAGGGATAATGGAAAAGAAAATGGAAACTACTATTCAGGGTTTAGGTTTAGGGTTTCCGCGAATTAGGGGTACCTTACTGGGGGTACCCCTAATAAGGATTATAGTGTTTCCAGATTTGTTTTGGGGCCACCTCATTTTTTGGGGAAACTTGCAGGTACACAAATTGAACCTGATAAGGGCACGAGTCAGAATTTGATCGTAATTATCCTGAACCTCCAAGTAGGCTAGTGCCCTAGCCCCTTTGGAGGGGACCTGCTGTTCACGAGCATTCCAAAATGCAGGAGGAACGCAAGCCTGCGGGTCAGGATTCAGAGCTTCATGACGGGGCCTCCCAACACTCCCTCACAAGGATGAGCCCTTGGGTACTGCCCCCACTCTGTAACAGTTGGATAATATCGATAACATAGTTCTATATAGCCCTTAACATGAACTTACGATAGACTATACACTGTCACAGGGTGGGGGCAGTACCCAAACGAGCCCCTAGGAGGACAAGCAAACAGACCTAGAGGACCGCAGTTCCCGAAAAGCGAGCCTGAGCTGTTCAGCAGCAATCATTTGAGCTGAATGTAGTCCGAACTCGTTAACAGGGCTATATGGGGGATTACATAGGTACTATTGCAGGGGTTACTAAAGGCGATACTAGGAGTCTAGACTAGAGCTCATTTGTCGGGAGGGTGGTGGCGAGTCTCATGATATGAGTAGGGCCTCAGCAGCTTTTCAAAGCAGAGAACTGATGACTGTAGCAACATCACACTACGTCCAGTTGATCGTGCTGGGGCCCACTCCTATGGCGGGCATGAATTCATCCATCCGAGCGTCACAACAGAAAAAAATGTGTTTCTTTGGGCGGCATGTACATGGAATGTTGCAGAATGCACGGAAGATACTCTACTTGAGGGAATTTGTGCAATCCCCAAGCAAGTAGAGTAACTACACACGTTTGGTTGGTTGGCATAGTCAGTGTTGTTATTGCAAGAAGGGCTGACGGGCCCTAGGTTTGAAAGGCTTTGGATTTTCTCCTGTGGGACAATCTTATGGTTGTAGTGCCATTGAAGGGTCTGGGGTTTGAGGTTTAGGGGGGTAAAGGATGAGTGCTGGCGGCATGGCCTGCCGTGCCCGATTTAGGGCTACACAGCTCGTGAAGGCCAAAGCAGAAGGCAGACAAGCAGCAGGGTGTTGACCGGGTTGCTGTTAAGGAATTTAAATTAAGTTACCACAATAGGTATATATAGTAATCAATATGGTTTCCCCAATAGAGTAACTTAGATTAAATTCCTTAACAGCAGCCCAGGTAAGAGTCTGTGTATTGGGTGACCCGGAGAACCCTAGTGACGAGAACCCTTCTGCTTCTGTAGTCTGTTAGCACTCAGCTCTAGCCTGGCAGGCTCATGAGTGACTATCAGGGATTAGGGTTCCAGGTTACAAGTACCCTGCCTTGGGTTCTGATAAGAGACACCTAAACCCTAAACCTAGACCCAGATAAGAGACACCTCCTTTGTAACCGTACATGGGGGAGCCCGTGGTCCTCCAATTTCGGCCACCATGATTGATTGGGGCTGCACGCTTTGGATGCTCAGCGTAAGGGCGCTGCAAGAATAGTAAGAAAAAAGAGTAGTAGTGATAATAGTCATACCTGTAATGGCAATCATTTTGGCCTAGCAATGGGGTGTAAGCATAAGGATGGCCAGCAGAACCGTGCAAGCAAAGACATAATTATGCTAAAACCTCAATGAAAACCAGGAAGCACACCAGTCACCGTCTGGACACTTGCAGGGGGTTCCCAAAATTAGGGGTGCGCCCCAGTAGAGACCATTATGGTATCTTTAGATCTATATTGGAGTCCCCCTGTTTTGGGAAGCTACCGCTTCATACGTTTCAAGATCACGCATCGTCTCGTGCGAATGTAGGGGCCAGCTACCCTTCAGCAAAGTCACATGGAAATCCCAAAGGACAACAGCCGATAGTCGTTTCGGGACCCCTTCTGGACTTCCATATGACTTTTGGGGAAGGGTATGCAGGTCACTTTTGGGAACTTCCGGGGGAAAGTGGAATAGCAGCCCAAGAGCTATTATCAAAACTCCGTGTAGGACTTAGAGTTTGGCTTCAAGTCAAGGCTGAGCCTTGGGTTGAGGGCTTAAGGTTGTAAGCAAGCACTTTTGATTGGGTTAGTATGCAATTCTATCTTCAGCCCTCCACTTTGAACTGTACAGCGTGTATAGCTAGTCAGGCCAGCTAGTACCAACTTTATGTCACTCTTTGCGAGCCAAGCCCAAAGCTCTGAAATCCCAATGCCCCTACATCCCAAACCATGGCCCTAAACCCTAAACCCTAGGACCCCATCCCCTCAACCTTGAATCATCCCAAGCCTCATAGAGACGAGAAGTTTCTCAAAGTAAGCGGTGGTTAATCCAACTAAGTACCACATAAATTCCTATACATCTCTTAGGTGGGCTCCCCACCCAGTAATTTAATAGTGACTTTAAGGGACAACGGTGATTATATCAGGGTCCTCTTTTATTCCTACTCAACCATTATTACAGAGTGAGGGGTCCACCTCATATATCCCTAGGGCCCCTGGGGATCCCTATTTTGAGAAACTCTGAGACGAGGATGTCGATGACGTGCTGCTGCGGCCCTCACCAAGCTTACAAGGAAGGGTTTCGAGGCGCAACGTGGTTTGAGTGTGTGGGGATCTATTAAGGTTCAGGGTTTAAGACTTTCAGGATTTAAAGGATTAGGTTAAGGGTCTAAGGTAGTTGAAGGCGAAGCGCTCACAGTTTATGGTACTACTTTTGGGGTCTGTGAGGGCTAGGACACTGGTCTCGAGCAACTGTAAGGCTGATAAATGCTTGCTGCGCTCTACATGATTGAGGTTTTGGCCCCTAAGCCCTGAGCCTAGAACCCCTGAGGGTGGAGTTGAGGTTTGCAGGGCTTAGCAATCTAAACCCTAAACCGTCTGTGCGAAGAGATTCACGGATCCGGTGTAGAAGGATTGCCTTGGGCCTCGTGGGGTTTTGACTCAGTCAGGGTGTTCAGCTGTGGAAGTTAACAACGCTGATGTTTTTTCCTGGGTTGCTGTTAAGGAANNCCCAATCTAGTAACTTAATTTAAGTCCCTTAACAGCAACCCAGTTTTTCTCAAGGTCCAGCTTCCTAGAGCTCTAGACCATGTCCAATGGTTTTCGGGGTGGCTTTTCTACCTTCAAGGTTTGCAGGTATAAGCCGGGCCCGTACATGATTACTATTGTCCCTTCTGGTCACTAGTTGTGGGCTCTGACCTTCCCTTTTTTGGTGCAAGTGTTACCTGTGAGTCATTTTCCGAGTTTAGGGTCTTAGGGTTGGAAGGGTGAGGGGAAGAGGGGGTAAAGGGCCCAGGGTTTGGGATACCACGCAAGTAGCGCGAAAGTCTTGGACATCCATAGCAGTTGCCAGTCTGAAAAAACCCACAACAGCCGACGGTTTGTCAAGAGTTCGTACGGTTTGCCGAGGGCGGAGACGCTGTCGGACGACAATCCCTGAGCAACAAAGCCTCACCCCGTCATCTAGAAGCACAGCTTGGGCTTTAAGATTGCAATCGCTGAAATGTGATTGGAAGATTGGGTCCATGAACAATTCGATGTTGTGAACCTCACATGACCTCATGCCGGAGGTTTCATATCTTGGACCCAAATCATTGTCTGCAAAACCCAGAGCCTGAACATGAACAACCTTCCGCTACAAGACATTAACGCTAAACCATAAACTCTACCCGTCTTTGTAGGCCCGAGCACGCTATGCCCTAAACTCTGTCTCTCCATACATCGCATATGACACTAATACCAGCACTGTTCCAAGAGTCTATGTAGGCCCAAGCACCCTATGCCCTAAACCCTGACTAGACCCTACCATGCAGTACCTTTATGGGGTAGTCCTAATGAGAGTCCTAACCCAAAAACCATACCAAACCCAAAAAGGAAATAGTTTGGAGGGTCTAGGTAAATCCTAAAACCTAGACCGCGTATATCTCCGTACATGGGCAGCAACAACCAGCAGGCCAGAAGGTTACTACATTACAACGTCAAACCGCATCGCCCAATCGAACAGTAGAACTACCCAGTGTCCCCCTTAATAACCCGTATTATAGGATTTAGGGTCTAAACTCCTAATATCCCCCTTTATAACCCCTAGAATAATCCCCTATATAATCCACTATATAACCCTAAAACAGAACCTTGCTGATCAGTTCTAACTCTTAACAGAATTATGTTGGTAAGCCGTCAACCGAGGCTCGTTTCAACTTTATGGGATGTAGTGGTTAAAGTCCCCCTAAAGTAGATAGAATATGGGCTATATGCGGATCTTATCATAATATACTCAAACCTATATTCTCTCTACTTAAGGGGGACTATAAGCCCTTTCTACATGCTATGAGCTCGTTTCACCTTTTTGGGATGTAGGGGTTCAGCCACTTCTACATGCTATGCCCAAGCTCAGAACCTCACACTGTAGCCGCTGCCATCTGACGGAGGCAGAAGCTCCTCCCACTGAGTTCTTGGTGCTTCGCAAAGGATGAGACACATGAAGACCTCCAGCTTGGAGTGCTAAAAGAGGGGTTGAGGGTGAGCCCTGGAGGTTCCACAACATGACCCCCGACTGGATCAGAGTGCTGCTCGCGCTGTTTCAAGCTTGTCTCTGCATCACAGCAATGCCCCAGTAGACTGTCCTTCCGTTAGCTGGAAATGAAGGAATGGAAAAGAACATGGAAACAGCAAACCAAAGGCCAGTAGATAGAAGATGAGACATGTAACTTTCGCAGGGCGCGAAAATTACATGCTAGCAAGCGTTCACCATAATTCACCGTACAGCGAAATCCCCGTACGTCGTTTGCAGACAGAATCTGGACATGTGCGGACAGAAACGGGAAGTGACTGCAGAAAAAGTGGG